TATGTTTGGTGTTTGTGCTGATTCTTCTCCCTCTGCCCCCTTTTACAAATGTGTAATTTGAACCCCACAGAAACCAGCACCTGCAGGAGATGTCAGAGTGACTCAGGTAGATCTACCCTCCCTTCTGGGCTGCAGCATCTCTTTGGCTTGTGACCCACACACATCCTGGGGAGGAGGAGATTTGCCCACTCCCTCCATCTCCACCTGTCCTCCATCTAGCATCCTTCCATCCATCCTCTCCTCCCCCCATCTGTCTTTATGTGCGCTTTACTGCCCGAGGTTGTCGATGGATTGAATTCTGTCAAATCAGCCTGATGTAAAAACTGCACTGTTTTTTTCAGTGCAGATGAGAAAATAAAACTAGAAGGAAAACCTTCCCAGTGAAAACGAGCACATTCGAAGTGTTTCAAGATTGGAATACTCTGACTATTCTAAACTGGTTATGGTGAAGTGTGATTTCGGACAGAGTTTTCTCTCTGCAAGGCATGTTTGAGTTGTGCTGCCTCCGAGCTGTTGAGACTAAAGTCCTTTTGATATGCTCTTGTCATAGAAAAAGAAGTTAGCTTAACAGAGAGGGGGCAGGCAGGGGGATTTCATTGACTGCTTAAATGGCTTCCATTACACTTCAGCAAAAAGCATGTCTTTTTTCTTTCCAAGGTTTTTATACCCTCTTCATAGTCTTTCATTGCATAATATTTGTGCCCACACAGCACAAGCATACCTGCCAGTGTTCTCCAGACCTCTGCTTATAATATCTATTATGAATCGCTTCTTTTTTAATCATCCCACACATTGTCTCAGAAGGCTTCTTTGTCTAGCGCTGCAGTGCTAATGCTCAGAAAGTGTCATTTTTCATGTAGTAGTTTCCTCCTTGCCTGTGTTGTGAACAAAAGTACATTAGAGCTGACAGCATGCACACTTTGACATGTCAGTCAAATGAGTCAAAGCCTGACACATTAAGACTGAAAGTGAGAAGTTTAGTGGGAAGCGCTGTGCTTTCTTTGTCATGACTGGACTGATAAAGGCCCCTATGAAGCGTGAAAGCTTTGACTTGGGATTTTCCTGCGATTCCGCCTGGATAACAGTGATGTAACTGGCCCACCAACTTCAACAAGCAACAGATGTTGTATTGTATACTGTTGGTGACATAGTGTTGATGCCAGGTCGGTATCCTGGTGTTAAGAGTTGGACTCACAGCTCTGACTGCATTCTAAAAGGAAGCGGGTGCACCCTCAATGCACTGAATCCTTTTCTTCCCCAGAGAAACGGTCATTGAACGAAATTACTGGACAAGTCCTGAACTTCTCCAGTCATTTTTTTTGTTGAGCCACCTGGCTGCTGTTTTTTTTTTCTTCATCTCCTTTGGAAGAGCAAACATGTGGAAGCTTTTGATTCCAGTGCTGCTGTGAGCTCCCTGTTTTTGTCTGTTGAATCTCTTTGGATGAACACCAAAAAGCGTATGCCTTTTGACATTTTTTTTATACAAAAGACTTTTGTTTGAACCACCATCCTAGGAGTGGGTCTCTAAAGCTCCACTGCAGGTTTTACACACTGAGTCCCACCTGAGAACGATAAAAGGCGACGGCAGAACTTCCCGTTTAGAATTTTTTAGGTCTTTTAAGAAAGTGGGATAGCTATCATGCTACTAACTGAATTACATTGGGTTACAGACATTTTAAGCACTTACAGTCTGCCATGACTTCTCAGGCAAGCGATATGCTCAGTAACAGCACTATCAGAGTTCACAGAAATTAGCGTTTGGGATTTTGTGTAAAAAGACTTGTACTAACACTCTGTCATTATTTAATGGGCCTTGTAGCCTGTTACCAGGGTTCACTCTCTCTCTGTGCTGCTCCCACCGGAGCTGAGGTGAGGTGACAAAGAACCAGAGCCCCTGGTATCAGTCCACCACACAGCATTAAATACAGCTTGAGCTTGGAGGACCCATATGTCCCATATGTCATTACTGGGCATTACTCAATTAAAAGCCCCAGCTACTAAGAAATGGAGCTGGTCGGCGAGGGATTCAAGAGTGCTTTGAGAGGATATCGGCTTATGTCCTGACAGAGGAGCAGACAAGTTGTAAAGAAACGTTCCTTGTCGAGGCCAGTATCAGAGAAGCACAACACAGCAGCTTCGGGCTTCTTTCTTCCAGCAGACAGTCGCTCAGAGCAATAACATTATGTTTTTACTCAGGCATTAAAAGACTTATTTGATTTTGTGTTGATTTTTTAAAGAATTCTTCAATTTCCTATACGGTCATTAATACACGTTGGTGCCTTGTAGCTTTTAGAAGTCTGAATGGTGAGATTAGTCTGGATAATCGCTTTCATTGGATTTCTGTGAGCTCATCAAGCTACGGCTTCCAAGAAAAGGGAAACACACCATCAAATGGATCGTGGAACTTTGATGCAGTTTCTCTATTCAGAGATACACCACAGCTGTGCAACTAACTGCTGATTTTCCTATTCAAGCTGCTAAGTAGGGAAACTTTCTTCACAATTAAACAATGCTATTGAGATTTTGAAGCAGGAGCTATGGAAAAGTTTAAGCAACACTATTAAAAGCTCTCTGATGAGCTCCATGTGACATTCTGTAGCATCTTCATATATATCTAAGTGTATCCTCTCTTGCTGTTTTTTCTTATCATTTTGCCGTAAAATGTTGATCAACGTTGACAAATCTGAATGTAGAATCTAACTTGAAGTTAGTGTTAATCCCACACACTCCATAAAAATGGATTTCCTTTTTGATCATCATTAAATGATCATAAACTAATCCTGAATGTTCACAAAAAGCTGTCATATAGTGTCATCATTCCCAAAATACATCATAATGATCGTTGTCATTAGGAGACCCATCTGCAGGCAGGCCAGTCTAGCACCAGGACTCTGTGTCTAAGTAACCACTCAGCTGGAGATGAGATCTGACATTGTCTTCCAAGAATATCCTTCAACGAAGGCTGGGAACCAACTGTTCATGGAGTTCTTGGTCTTCTTTGGTCTTATCTTTTATGCCCGTCACCAAATAATAGGCTTATTGTTCGTCGTGCTCCAGTGCTATTACTTACCAGGTACCAGATATACATGGGCACCGTATAGAGAAAAAAAAAGCCGACCTTGGCTTGTATCCATCAGGTTGATGTTAGCACTTTCATTAGAAAGTGTGTGATTTAACGTTAAGGGCTGTGGCGCAAATTAAATGAGTGGAAATAGAAAGATGAGAGAGCGGCGTAATTAGACAGAGACCTTGTTTTTGTTCGCTGATTGTCTGTGCTCTTGGCACCGGCTCCTCGTCTGTATCCCTTAATGACATTAACAAAACCTTTTAATGAAGAATATTTCAGATGGATGACATTAGACTGGTATTTAAAGTAGTCCAGAAGTGACTGAGGAATATGGGGGCGGGTGTAGAGGGACACACTGGATGGAGGAGAGAATGGTGCTGAAGTTGTGGGTGTGCGATGGTGTTGGCAGATGTTTTAACAGGAGGGATTTGAGGTGAGAACAAGGTCATTTACATTTTATTAAGCTGGAAATGCACAGTGCCCAGGGCAGAGTCTCACTCTCTTATGGCTTTAGTCTTTGGCAGACAGTTAGCTTCAGCAACCCGTTGCCACTCTGATGTGATAGCAAAACTCTTCTGTTCTGTTCCTCTGACTCTATCACTCGGGTTCTGAGCTTCAGGTCTAAATGGTGGGTTGCCAGCTGCAGAGATAGTCCTTCTATGTGGAGGTGGTGATTTAGTGGGGAGATAAGCTCTCTGTAATGGCAGGGTGGAATAATTCCTCTTTAACTTGGAGGCTTGGCTCTCTCCACCCTCCAGAAGAAAATGTTGTCGCTCCCCGCCTTTGTTCTTCATTCCTTTCTCTTTTTCTACCGCCCTTCACTCGTTTCTGTTTTTTTGTTAGGAGGCACTTGTCAGATCAGATACAAATCATTCAGAAAAAGGCTTTTTATTCCCAAGATATCATATCACACATTATAGATGGCACATCTCGCTGTTGAATGCCAAAAGTGTGACAAAGTTTCAAATATAGGGCAAAAGATTGCTTCTTTTTCTCTCTTTTCAACCACTTACAATTTCAGTCCAAACGACACTTTGACAGATCTTGAACGTCCTCACAGTGCAGTTCCTATTTCACTCTAATCAAAAAAGTTGTTTTTCCAGCAGAAACACTTGAGAAAAAGATATATATCTGAAAACACCTAAACCTAGGAACTGTTGCTTTCTGGTATGTTTTAATCTACAAAGCTAAAGTTAGATCTTAATAATTTACCGAAGGACATGTTGGCCTCTGTTAAATTGACGCTTTTGAATGCAACTGTGATTATACAACAAGTGAGATTTGAAAAGCTATAAGCACAGTTTGACTTTAAATAAAAAAGACAAAGTGATTGCCATTTGAAAAAAAGGAGCATTATTTGAAAAAGACAATGCCTGCCTTGATGAGGAGGCTGAGAAGCCTGCGTGGTCTGACTACACACTGGAGATGAGAAGACATGGCTGAGAGTGAAGTGAACAGAGGAAGTGAAGGACAGTGAAGATATCACTGTTTCTTACCTCCTGCATTGATCTTATCTGTAACCCCAGTCGCTCTGTCTCTGTCTGCCTCTCACGCTCCATCTCTGCCTCTCTGTGGCAGAAAAACTGGGAGGTCCCTTGTGCTGCAGATTGATTTCAGTCTGCATCTCACACTGCAGGTAGATATGATGTGATATAACTGTTGTGAAATCCACACTGGGACGCTCTGTCGGTTCTGCTGCGTTAGGCTGCCCCCTGGAGGCTTTGAAAAGGCACAATTTTGGTGCAGACCTGAGGCTCATGGGGCAAACATATTGAGCAGTGCGAGTAATGACATCGTGTTGATTTATGTGTTTGTCATGTACACACACACACAGAACCATTAAGCATGCACTTGATGAAACATGAGCACAAGAGTGGAATCAGCGCCGAGTAACACGCCGCGTTTGCCTGTTGTCCCTGTGTCCTCCCCGCAGCCCTGTTGTCGTCTTGGTGCGAGGAGCTGGGCCGTCTCCTCCTGCTGCGTCACCAGAAGAACAGGCAGAACGAACCACAGGGAAAAGTCCCCATGCAGCCCAGCATGAACAGCATGAAGCCCGGCCTCACACACAGGTGAGCGAGACGTGCCGGGTGAACAAAGATCGCGCTCATCGTAGTGCATACAAATTCTCATTTAAGAAAAAAAGGGAGAAAGACAAGCATTTTGTATAAACGGCTCCCAAATTTGACTCTGTCTTTTGTAAGAAGAATCAGAATCGGTGTGAGTGCAGCTGAAGTGATTTGGGGTGGAGGGACAATCCAAGAAGTGAAGTCATGTTTTTGTGAGAACAGCGTGTACTCATGCTTCTTTTCCTCCAGAAGAAAAATCCTGTTAGCCAAAAGCCCTGTTTGCCTCTGCTGAGGATCTTCAGGGAAGGTTGTGCCTTTATGAGGAAATATTGAACTTATCGTCCATTATAAGAGTTACCCCCTGAGTAAAAACAAGCTGCTGTCCAAAAACAGCACTTCCTTCTCTCTGCTCTGGCCACTTGCCTCTCCCTGTGAGGATTTAGATGTTTATTATATGTAGCAGACTCTCATATTTTACCCAGTTATTTGTTTTGAATCTGAGTGCTAAACATTCCAGCCACAGTCTTCCTATCTGCATCCAAAGGCTTTTGTAACAGCTAAAAGAATGCCTCATTTTTAGTTTTTAATAGTCTGTGTGTCTCTGTGTGTGAGTGTGTGTGTGTGTGTGTGTCATTTAAAGCAGATATTCTGGCTTCAAATCGGATTTGAAATGGAAAAGAGACATTTTAGATGTCTGACCATTTTGGCAAGAAAGAGCCATTCACTGCTTAATGTGACATCAGGCACATATTTGTGATTTGTTCTACTTTGCAGTGATGGATCCTTTCCCTATGACTCAGTCCCCTGGCAACAAAACACCAACCAGCCCCCTGGGTCATTATCTGTGGTTACAACAGTGTGGGGCGTGACCAATACTTCACAGAGTCAGGTACGTCCATGCAAGAAAAGCACCCTCTCTGTGTCTCTTGAATCTGTTTATTTAACTACCTCACACTATATATTAATCCATCCTGTTTTGTTTTTTTTCCCCCCTGCGTGTAGGTGCTGTGTAACCCTATGGCGAACAGCAATAACCACATGAATCCCGGGGGTAACCCCATGGGGTCAGGTTTGTCCGCCAGCGCAGCAGGGCTCAATTCACCCCAGTTCAACACTCAGCAGCAACAGTTCCCAAACAAAGGAGGTTCCAGCCAGGCGTACATGCAGCAGGGCATGTACGGCAGGCCTGGCTACCCTGGCGGTCCCGGGGGATACAGCGGAAGGTAAGAGGAGACGACATTATATGTGTGTCACAAGCTTAATAATTCTTCTGACATCACGGTTATTGTCAAAGTATCAAAGTATACGGCGTCCCGCCTCCAGTGAATAGCCAAGAGTATAAAGCATGGCTTATGGGTAAAACTCTACAGAGACAGGCATGTTTTGTGTTCACCATAATGTACGTTTGATATTTGCATCCCGCTTTGGTGCCTTCACCTTTAGAGGCATGCTGTTATTGTCCTGTGTCACAGAGGGATGTGCAGCCATGCACGCAGCAGTGTTTGCATGAGATATGACAGGGATTTTAACCATATGGCAATAATTAATTGCTAATAATGTGGTTAATACTATGAAAATAGCTGTCCTATCACAAACCAGTTCAAGTGTAGTTTGTTTTTTTGTAAACATTGTCAAACTGGAACTGTAAAATGAAAAGGATAAATCAACATTTGTTCTTGGTTTTGCATGGGACGGTAACTCCTGTCTTTTGGGTTTAGGCCCTTTGTTTGATCCACTGAACTGCTCAGGCCTCTGTCCAGATGTTCAAACCACATGCTGTCAGGCTTTGTCCCGCGTTACCTGACTTTCTAATTCTCTACTAGACCTTCACATCTGTCATGTTAGCCCCGAAGGCAAAGTTGTCCCGCTATCCTGTTGACATTTTTGTGGAGCTGAGAGATAAAGGGGCTCATGGTTCATCCAGGTGCAAAAAGACTCTTAACGTGATGATTAAAGCATGGATTCTGTTTCTTTGTTTTTCTTTTTTAGTTACTCTGGAGGCCCAAACGCTCCACCAGGAGGAATGGGAATGACCACCCACACACGTCCTCCGAGTGACTTCACACCGCCAGCTGCTGCTGCTGCAGCTGCAGCTGTTGCTGCCGCTGCTGCCACGGCAACGGCCACAGCAACGGCCACAGTGGCAGCTCTGCAGGAAACGCAGAACAAAGATATGAACCAGTATGGACAGGTACGGGACACACCTACCAGCGGATACTTCCCGTTGTAACCATTTAGCTAACGCACACAGGGGGTTGCCGGCCATCTGCCAGCGCGAGACCCAAATTAATAACATTAAACACTTCAACCTTTTAATTTCCCCCAGATGTGTCCATCATTCCAAATGGGCCCGGCTCCAGCCTACAACAGCCAGTTCATGAATCAGCCAGGCCCTCGAGGCCCCCCTGGAGGAATGAATCCAGCCAGCATGGGATCAGGCATGAGCAACCCCAATATGAGCGGGCCTCCGATGGGAATGAGCCAGCCTCGAACTCCAGGCATGGCGCCTTTTGGAGCTCACAGCCAAAGGATGCCTCAGCAAGGGTATCCCGGAGGGCCCCGACAGGGCATGCCCATGCAGGGCATGAAGAGGCCGTATCCCGGGGAGGTCAGTGGAAAGATGAGACAATCGATCGATTTGAAATTGACGTTTCATGGTGCGCTTCAACCTTTTTCTTTAACTTTCTTTCTTAAGGGAAGTTATGGAGGTCAGCATTATGGGCCAAACAGCCAGTTCCAGCCACAGCAGGGCCAATATCCCACATCAAATGCATCCAGGCCCCTGCCCTCTCCTAACTACCCCAGCCAGAGGATGCCAGGGCAGCAGGGCCAGGGTCAGTACCCCTCTGGCATGCCCATGGGCCAGTACTACAAGGTCTGTTATTCCATTCCTATTGCCCAAACAATGCCTTCCAGGACAATCTTCATGTGACTGGAAATACACAGAAACATATTAAACAGTTTTTTTTTCCCCCACAGCAAGAGCCCTTTAACGGTCAGAACACCAACTTCTCTGGAGGGGGATACTCGTACGGCCAAGGCAACGGGGTATATTTTCACTTGATTTTCCAGCTAGAAAATGTTCACGTTCCACTATAAAGACCTTTGCACCAGATGTGAACGAGTTGTGCTTGCGCAATCAGTTCAGCAGATGTTTACTTTAATGAAACATTATTATTTTTATCAGCCCCCCAGGCCCGGTAACTACCCCCACTCCCCAGTCCCCGGAAACCCTACACCTCCTATGACCCCAGGAAGCAGTATTCCTCCGTATCTGTCGCCAAACCAGGATGTGAAGCCTCCTTTTCCACCTGACATGAAACCAAATATGACAGCACTTCCGCCCCCTCCAAGTGAGTACAACAACAGGTCTAAAACAAGTGGCCTGTCTGACACATTTGGGTCTTCTTTTTTGGGGGGGCTATTTCTTTTTCCCCTCGTTCGTTTTGACTGTACAAGCGCAGGATTAAAATTGTGTGCATTTCCTTTCCTTCAGCTAACCCCAATGAGGAACTGCGGCTGACGTTCCCTGTCAGGGACGGCGTTGTGCTGGAACCTTTTCGCCTGGAGCACAACCTGGCTGTGAGTAACCACGTCTTCCACCTGCGACCGTCCGTGCATCAGACCCTCATGTGGAGGTAGGCCATTTTTCTACAAGCCGTGTGTCACCACATCTCTGCACGATGCAGCTAATCTCTTACCAGGCTGAATATGATAGGGTCTAAAAATACACTTTCTCAACGAACCTACAAAGAACGTGTCTCGTTGTCCCTCTGGCATCCTCCCAGGTCGGACCTCGAGCTTCAGTTTAAGTGCTACCATCACGAAGACAGGCAGATGAACACCAACTGGCCGGCCTCCGTCCAGGTCAGCGTGAACGCCACGCCCCTCACCATCGAAAGGGGGGACAACAAAACCTCCCACAAGCCCCTGCACCTGAAGCACGTGTGCCAACCGGGGAGGAACACCATCCAAATCACCGTCACCGCCTGCTGCTGTGTGAGTGCACGCCGCCAGGAAACCTCCCTGTCGGGGTAGCTGGAACGGAACCCGTTTCATACAGCAGACCCATCAGCCGGGATAATTTCCACAAACCCGATTGAATTAAGTTCATGTATTGTGGGGAGTGGACATGTGGTTCAGCCGCTTACTCGGTTTGTCTTCTCGTGTTGCTTTGCAGTCCCACCTGTTTGTGCTTCAGCTGGTCCACAGGCCATCTGTGCGCTCCGTCCTCCAGGGGCTCCTGAAGAAGAGGCTGCTTCCTGCAGAACACTGCATCACCAAGAGTATGGCTCATTTTTCCCTTGCGGTGTAGTTTGTGTGTCAGTCTGAATCCTGCGACTTCCTGTGATTTAAAAAAAAAAACTTTCTCAAAGAACCCTTTTTGAGTGCTCACAATTTGATGGCTTCCCTGTGAAACGCTTTGTCTCTTCCAGTTAAGAGGAACTTCAGCAGCGTGGCGGCGTCGGCGGGCAACACCACCCTAAACGGGGAGGATGGCGTGGAGCAGACAGCCATTAAAGTCTCGCTGAAATGTCCCATCACCTTCAGACGCATCCAGCTGCCGGCACGAGGGCATGACTGCAAACACGTGCAGGTACGCCCGGCTTTAAAGAGCAGATAGATGTTGTTCTGCTGGCGGGTTGTCATGGCGTTCTGATGAGAGATTCTAACGCTTCTCTCTGCAGTGCTTTGATCTGGAGTCTTACCTGCAGCTTAACTGTGAGAGGGGGACATGGAGGTGTCCTGTGTGCAAGTAAGGGAAAAAACGATTTATAGGGGGGGATGCAAAGAGTGGAATATTACCAAGAACTACTCTGAAAGATTCTATTTTTCCCTTTTCAGTAAAACAGCATTATTAGAAGGACTTGAGGTGGACCAGTATATGTGGGGGATACTCAATGCCATCCAAAAGTAAGTTTTTTCTTTTTCACCGGGCTGGTAGATGTTTGTTTTCCTCATATTTCAAAGTAAATGTAACACATTCTGCTCTCTCTTCCAATAGTTCAGAGTTTGAGGAGGTCACTATAGACCCCACATGTAGCTGGCGACCTGTCCCCATCAAATCTGAGCTACACATCAAAGAGGACCCAGATGGACCTCTGGCCAAGCGCTTTAAGACCATGAGCCCGAGTCAGATGACCATGCCCAATGTAATGGAGATGATCGCTCAGTTAGGGCCAGGTCCTGGTCCCGGGTCTGGGCCTGGACCAGGACCAAGCCCCTACCCGGCTCACCCTGGTCAGCATGCTGGTGGCAACGGGGGAGATTATCACGGAGCAGGTAAAGAAAGTTAGCCAGGATGGCACTGTGCAAAAAATAACTGGAGAATGATCTCATTTGTTGGAATTTGTTGAACTGTCTAGTATTTAGAGCAGGAGCTGTTTCATGTGTCTGTAGTGCTTTCAACTAAGAAAGACAAAGAATAGGTGTTTCAGCTTAGCCTGTCGCAAAATGCTTTTGCCCTGAACGAATTGGAGTCTGTTATGTCAACTTGTTGTTATAGAAACGTTGACTCAAACACATCAGGAAGACTCTGACTACAGCCAGACTGTTTCAAACTCTGTGTTTCTCCTATTTCTTACCACAAGGTAACAGTTACCACAGCCAAGGGAGCTTTGACTTCCCTCACGGGAACCCTTCTGGTGGTGGGGTTGGAGGAGGAGGAGGAGGTGGAGGAGGTCCTCCTATGAATGACTTCATCCATGGCCCGCAGCTCTCCCATCCCCCAGACGGGCCCGGTGGTCTCCTCCCGCAGGACAAGCCTCTCAGCCACGGCATGAACGATCCAGTAAGTAGAGGCAGCTCGCAAAGTGCAGGAGATGGCTTCTTTTAGGGATTCCGCTTGACTTATTTTGAGGAAAAATAATCTGCAGAAAAAGTGTGTTCTTCTGCAAGCATCGATCGGTTATCCGAGCGAGGTGCAGCCTGTGCCTCCGGCCAGCATGTGTGTTGAGTCATGCTCACATGCTCATGTCACTGTATAATGTTGCAGCTGCACATGTCTGCTGCTCACAGCTTCCATTAAAGAGGCCTGTTCCATATTATCCACGCTGGAACTCATTTTGCCCTCCTCCCTCTTTTACACTCCTTCCCTCTCTCTCTCTCTTTCACACTACTCCTTTTTTTCCTGCCCTTTCTCACTCTTCTTCCTTTTTTTCTCGCTCTCTTGTTTGCGTCTCGCACCTGCAGATGTCCCATTCAGATCAGTCCCATAACTCCATGCAGCCGAGTTTGCATGCGTCTCCCCACCCCGGCAGCCAATCAGGGCAGCCCTTACATCACAGTGGCCAGTCAGGGCAGCCCTTGCATCACAGTGGCCTGTCATCGCAGCCGCCTCGCCAGTCGCAGCCACAGCCTCAGCATCCCGGCCAGAACAGTCACCCACACAGCGATCTGAACTTTAACCCCTCCTCAGATGGGCAGATGGGTCAGGGGGCCCAGGATATGCCCGAACCCTCCCTGGATGTAAGTGTGTCCGCTTTGGGTGCCATTAGCTACCTGTTAACAGCTAACATGAACCTGCTGCCGCTGTGCTCTCATCTCTTTTCTTGTCTGCTCTGTTTACATTTGACTCTTAATTCGCTTCTGAGGAGTGGTAGCTGTGTTCGCGCGTGTGTGCATTACGTGTGCCCGGCCTCGGTAACTGAATGAGTCGAAGTGCGTTGCCAATCGCTTGTTTCTCCACCTCTCGTCCCCAGTTGCTTCCGGAGCTGGCCAACCCCGAAGAGCTACTCTCTTACCTGGACCCTCCTGACCTCCCCGCAAACAGCAACGATGACCTTCTCTCCCTTTTCGAGAACAACTAGCCCTCTCCTGCCCTCTCACAGTGCCCTCCCGCACCCGGAGGAGTGACGATGTGCTCGACCGTCCGTCCACAGATAGCCTCCTGTCGACACCTCAAGCAGCGTCCCGCGCTCCGGCGCGCACGTGAACTGTTCCTCAGTAGATGATGTGCGTGGCTTTGGAGCGCAGGCGTGGGGGAACTTCAGAAGGAAGGAAACAGGACTGCCACTCATCTCTACACTCCCGTTATTCCTGTGTAAAGATTCAACGCACCAGTCCTACCACCTCTGGTGGAAAAGTCACCATGTATAGCCATGTTGGTTGGCATCAAAGTATATATCATACACACACCCGTGTGTATATAAACACATCTGATATTTGTGACTTTTCAACTCAAAACTGTGCAGCTATAATCATATATATATATATAAATATATATATGTGTATGTGTGTGTGTGTGTGTATATGTATATATATACACATACATACATACATATATATAACACAGGCCCTTTGTTGGCTCTAGGAAGTGGCTCTGCTTTGTTTTTTGTTTAATGATTTTCTTTTCTATCAAAACACAAATGGGAGGGGAAACCATTGTGTCGAAAGAGTGTTTCTATCCTTTTTTTAAATGTGTTCTTCCAAATTTTTGGCTCCAGCCATGCCCCTTGGCTTCCCAGACTTCCCAGTGTGTTGTCAGTTGAATAACTGGAACTCATCAAAATCAGAGCACGGTAAGGACGTTCTACATAGTCCTTAAGTGTCAAAAGAAGAAAGGATTGCACTTTGTGCAATACAGTGTGTGTGAGTCTGTGAGCGTGTATACATATGTGTGTTCTAGTTTGCACCCAATGTGTTTTTAAAGACAGCGGGGAGAGAAAGTTTGAGACAGAGGGAGGGAGGGAGGACAAACAGCCAGTTTAGAGGAGAGAAAAAAGTGGATTGTTGAGGGCTGTCTCAGCTTTTCTCTGGCCGACCCGAAGTTCTTGGAATGTTTCACTCTTCCTCGTCGAATCACAAGTGCATGCGTGCCAACGGCTCCCTTTGTCTTCGTCCGGCATAATTCTGCTCGATCAATTTGTTTTATCTTTTGTCTTCATATTTATTATTTTCAGTCTGTGATTTTTTTTTCCCTCTCAATTGTTGTTCTACTTTTGTTCTCTTCTTTGTCCCGTGTTGAGATGAATCAGACACACATCACCACAGTTTTCGCTAATGTCGAGTTTGGGTCTGTTGTCTTCATTTCAAAGTATCCTGCAAATTTTACTATTAATTTTTAATCTCTACATTTTATAAAGAAAAAAAAATATGTGTACTGACATTCTTTTTTTTGGTCATGTTGTCACGATGTTCCATCTTGTGGAAGCATCCATTGTGCATGATCCAACAGTGTTCCCTCAGCTGTTGTGTATATACCCTTTGTGAATACATTGTGACTGTACAATATTGTACCTAACTATTACCGGCTACTACATGGTACCGCGTGTCTGTCAAGGACTGCACATGCTCACACACACTCACAAACATACACAATCCTTGATCTCCAGTCCCATATTGTGAGGAATTGACCCAAATGCACTCTCACCGGCCTTGTACTGAGTAGCTATTTGAAATACTCTGCAGGCAAGCTGGATGTTTTATTTTTTTATAAATATATGTATGTAAAGTTTGGTCAGCTTTAAATAAGCTGTGCTTTTCTGTCTGATTGTCAATGCAGCGTAGAGGTCCAAATTTCTCCAAAATGTATTTGTTTAATATTATTTGAACAAGTGACCTCATCCTTTTATTTAAAGTGAGAATGTGCAAAAAAAAAGGCCCGAAAATGAGCTTTTGATATCCACACTTGTAATAATTTGTGTATTTTCGTCACATTTTATATTGTTTTAAGTTATTTTGTCCAGTGTTTATACGACCGGCATAATTTGGTTTTACCCGGTTTATTGCAGTATGGTCAATTGAATTGAAATAATCTACATTTGTCTGATTAAAACACCCACATTTTCATTTTTGTAATCTCTCTGAAAAGTCCAATTTGACTGTACTTGTCTTCAGAACGGATTGAATCAATGGCGTACAACACAGCTGAAGAATCATATGTGGAGTTTGTTTATTTGTTTGTTAAAGACAATGCACTGCCGCATCGGGATGTTTCATTCCCCTACACAGTGTGTCATTCTAAGTGTAAGCTTTCAAAGAATCACACCTGTTAATTTTAGCGACACACTTTGTACTTCATAGCAGATGTTGGAAATCGAATGGAGGATTTAAAAGTCAGAAAGGTGAATATTGTAAATTGAAATCAGAGGAGGGACGACTCCTTTGCATTACAGGGGGAGGAGGTAGCAGAGGATTTGGGGTTGGGTTGGGGGTGTAAGGGATATTTGTACATAATGTAAATGACAAATAGAGACACGTTAAAAGAAATGTATTCATTTTCTCCAGTTGGAGTGTGCATAGTGTATTTAGAATTTGTAAAGCTTGCATCTTCCTGTGAGACATTGAATTGGGAAAATGAGTCTGTGTTTAATTGCGTCTGTGCAGACCTCTCTACTCATGCCTGTTCATTTATGTAAGATTCTCTATGTGCCCCTCTGCATGGGGTTCAAGAAAAGAAAACACATTTTTCCTTTGTGTAATATTAAACCTCCGTGTATTTCGCTATTACCTGTGTACTTTATAAAGGTGCTACAAAATTATTGAAACATTTTGAGGTATAATTGGGATTGGAGATACTGAGCTTCGAATAGCTCATAAGGGTTGTCTTCAAATTTGAAGTTTGTAAAGAAAAATAAATTTTTGTCAGACGTGACTTTTTATGGAATTTGGCAAACGTGCTATATAGGTACAATCTGAAATGATTGGCACAAGTGGCAATTGTCTATTTGGTTTTTGTACATTCTGTGTACAATCATTTCATATTCTAAACTGGTCAAAAGAACATTGTGATTTTTAGTCTTGCAAATCTGTATGTAGTTAGATGACGTGACATCCTAATATTTATCTAATAAATATGTATTCAGATGAAACACAGTGCACGGCCTCTGTGTCTTTTTTACATACAAAGTGGAACTTTGTACAAAATAGTAAAATGGACTAAACTATTGTTGTCCTGACTCTAGACACTAACTATAATACTACGTGCATAAATTAATCAGTATTGTGTAATGTGTATGGTAGTTGTAGGTTATAAAAACAGGACATTTTTGGCACAATGCATATGAAAAAAAATCTCAAACGCTTACTGTACAAAGAGAGTTACCTCTCCTTTCAAAATATGATCGGTATACAAATTATTATCAATTAGGAACATCAGCAGCTAATACTCATTTATAGATTCAATTAATTTTTACCTGGCATACAAAGTTGAATCCGGAAAGACTTCAAACTATAAGTATATGTACTCTTCAGCGCTCATGAATGCAGTTAGTTTTATTAGTGACTTTGTGGTTAAATGATGATTTCCTCACAAGTCAAAATCTTTTTTATTTTTTATGAGCAAAGACCCAAAAGAAAAACCCCGGATGTGTCATTGCGCTGTCTCCCGCCTGGTGTCGCTGTTTCCCGTCACATGCCTGCACCTCCGTGTGACGTCACTTGTAAACACCATCAGCACTCATGGCCTTCAGGTCTTCTTCACGCAGCCAGCCCAGCAGCGATGATACAAATAAAAAACCGCATGAAATACAGCTCACTGGGCCTCGCCGACGGTGAGCCTCTCGGAAGAATAATCATTGAGGTAGCTAGCTAGCGGACTAGCCGCTCTCAGAGACCTTCAACCCGCAAACCGCATGTCCCACACACCGCTCAGACATCTATTCATCCATTTGTGTTGTCTTACAGCTGAATGCAGATGTTGTCCCAAAGACTACAGGTGTGTTTTAAACACAGAAAATGTGTCATTGAGTTATTTGTGCATTTAAAACGCCGCTTCTGTTTAAACTGGTTTAAAAATGCACGTTTCACAGAAAACTTCAGAGCCCTTTGCACAGGAGAGCACGGCTTTGGATACAAAGGATGTCTGTTTCATAGGGTCATACCTGAGTTCATGTGCCAGGTAAGAATCACAAAGAAGACGCAGGGAAGTGCAGAAAGGCATGCAGTTAGTGTTCATTCCGCTGTGTTGTGTCTTCTGTCACAGGGAGGAGATTTCACCAACCACAATGGCACTGGAGGGAAGTCCATCTATGGGAAAACATTCAAAGATGAGAACTTCAAACTAAAACACACTGGTCCAGGTACACTTAAGACACTTTTCGGAATTTCTACTTTGAAACTGCTACACATACATCCAAGTTCTGTTGCATGTCATCATCATAATTTTTGATAGTCAGATTGTGGGACAGAAAGCAAACAAACTCTTTGAATATAAGTTATGTCTCCTACACATTAGTATGAATTTTAAAAGGGAAAGTTTTTCCAGATTGTTGTGGAATGTAGATCAAGATAAATTAAACATTTAACAAGAACATTTTATAAAAGCATTTCCCCTCTTCATCCCCACTAGATGGCAGTGTGTAATCCCAAGAAGCCATCAAACTTTCTGGTCCTATAGATTTTGCAATCCTCATAAGAATGACCTACTTTTTTAGAAAGTCAACAGGCACAAATCAAAATAACTCCCCATCTTGGATACAACTTTTTCCATATGTAGATTATTTATTAGTGCTTCAATTTGTGTTGTGTGACCACAGATTGAGTGTGTTCCAGCTGAGAAGCGCCTTTTTCTAACAGTTGTTTACACTCTGCTGCACTCAGGCCTAAATATCACTGAATCAAAGATAAGTGGACACTTGGCTGTTCTTTTGTGTATAACTGTCTGCTTTGTATTGGATGTTTCTCCCCTGCAGGAACACTCTCCATGGCAAATTCAGGACCAAACACAAATGGCTCGCAGTTCTTCATTTCTACAACTAAAACTGAATGGTAAAGCGCACATACACTCTCGTCACAACTAAATCTAACCGTTCGCCCGCTGCTGAAATCACCCCTCATGTTTTCATTTCACAGGCTCGACGGTAAACACGTGGTGTTCGGCCAGGTGAAGGATGGTTTGGATGTTGTCACTAAGATGGAATCCTTCGGTTTGCATGACGGAGGTGTGATCAAGAAAATTGTCATCACTGATTGTGGGGAGGTCAAATAACCGTTGGACTGTTGGGGTCACTCTCAGACTTCTGTTAGATTTTGATAGAATGCACAAGTTTTAGCATTCATCTTTAATAATATAAACTTTGAAGGAGGAACTGCCGTGGAGATTTTTCTTCAGTTAAACCAGGCAGTTCTCGTTGATTTCTATTTAAAGGGATCTGGTGATTTGTGGTCTTACATATGTTTTACAGACAGTAGTAATTATCCCTGAAACATTTCTACAAGAGCTGAAAAAGCTAAGCCACTCAGTTTGTACAATCACTGTAAAAAACAAAAAACAGAATCACAATTGGATGATGGCCAGTGAGTTGCTTCATTTTTAAAAGCATACAGAATTCGTATGTACAGCAGAAAGTCATTTTATCTAGCTGCCGTATATTTAAATAAACACGTGAGAGGGTGTATTTTTTTCCACATCAAGTTGCGGACAAAGCATGGAATCAAGAATTCCCCTCAGCTTTTATGACTTGGAAGACTGCTCTAATAAAACCAATATTCATGATAAATCAGGTTCTGATTTTCTCTGACAGATCAGCATTGCAGCATAAGTTTTCCAGCCTAAAGAAATGTTAACACTGAGTACGATCCAGACTGTTTGCTGGCCATGTCGTTGCCCTTTGACGTCTTCTTTGGTCGACCCGTACGTCTTCCTTTTGCAATCTTCCCGTCTTGATTTGCTCTCGCTCCAAAAGTTAGTTGCAGCTCATTTGGAACCGTCCATTTGTTTGCCACTTTTAGTGTTGGATTACCGTCTCAAAGGCATTTGTTTTTTCCAAGTCTTTTTCATTGTTTCCACTGACTGCTCTGCTTTTGGGATTCCTTCAGGTTTGCAGGCTTTCTTTTAACTGCAGGCTCATTTGCATGTTTAGACATGTTTAAGGATTTGGTGGAAAAATAAAACCTCCAACATGAGTCCATCACTTTTTCCTCCACCTGATGTGGAAACAACTGAGAATATCCTCAATAACCTGTCAAATATCAAGATTTTGAACCTGCCTGAAACTTCTTTGTGCTTGGACAGTTTTAATAGCATGCTAAATGTTCTGCTCGTTCTACCCATAAAATGTTACATTTATGTTTTACTTTTATTTTTTGCTTAAACAAGCACAATATTCGGATTCATCACACCCCAGGAAAGTTTTCCAGCTTGCATCAGTCTATCATTAAATGTGTTGGGCTCAGAGAAGAAAAGTGTTATGAAAGATTTTCTTTGCACGGTTAGGATTTAATTTAGCGTATTTGTACACACAGACGCAGCCAGTGTTTGATGGTTTTCATAGAGGTTCCTAAAAACTTGTGGAAATCAGCACAGAGGCTAAAGATCTTAGCCACTCGATGCAAGTTCTCCATGTGGTCCCTTGTGTACAGAAATGACTAAAAGGATCTTCTAATGGTTTAAGGTTTAAGTGGTGAAATAACTTTGTTCCTGGGTTGTTAATCACGATGTGCAACCATATCACTGGCTTCGTTATCTTACATTGCATAACTTCTCCATAGATTTGGCTTTTTGAAAACATTCTTGGCTTCAAAATTTAATTTACACAATTTAATATCCCCCCGGCACACACACCAAGACACACTTTGTCTGAATGATTTGTAAAAGTTCTGTTTCTCCTGTCACACACCGTCACAATGCTTTTGGAAAAAGGCTTGTAAAATTAGAGCGCAGCTCCGCTTCACTTACTGATGAATAAATGAGCATTTTCACATTTTACAAGCCTTGGTCCAAGTACAGGACATTTGCTTTCTCGTGCCACAGGGCCTGCTGGTTTTAAAGCTTCCCGGAAAAGATCCAGCGGCTTTTTTTAGACCCCTGCTTCAACACAGGCGGCTTCCTGTCCATCAGAGCAGGATGTGACATCCACCTACTGGAGCTGAGAAAATCACAGGAATCCACATAGCACATGAGATACGTTTGGACTCACTGTAGGCTTTCTGGGTCCAGCCAGTGCTGATGCTTTAGTGTGCAGAAACCACAGAGGAATCTGAAAATGTCTTCACTTCGAATGTCGGCTGGCCTTCCTCTTTATTAGAAACGCAGAGCTCTCGACGGCAGGGAGCAGGAGGCCGGGGCCCGTCTGAAAGCCAGAGACTGGGTGGTGCTGCTTATCGAGCTAATACATTATGAAAGTAAATAATGAAGCTACGTGAAAAGGCAGCTCTTGCCCCTAAATGAAAACATATGTGCCCTGACCTTCCACCGTTTGTTTGAATTCTCAGATTACATTGTTGCCATAGTGACTCCTCAGCTCGCGCTCTGTTTGAGCTGGAGATGTTGTAACAAACTTGATATAATTTGGGTCCCCACCCTCTGGTTTAGCTTTAGTTATTTGGAATGCATGTCCAACATTCTGCATGGAAACTTGGCTGGGAAGACAATGGCGCTGCGGCCAGTGTTTTAGCACACATGAACACAACAATGACATCTCTGCAGCTGGCACAAACTGGTTCCCTGAATGTCTACATTCATCCCACAGCACCGTGTCAGCTGGTGTCCTTTTCTGTTTCGATTTTTTCCCCGTCCACGGTCGGACTCGACGTGTTCAAATTGAGTGTTGGCAGCTTTATGCGTCTCTTATCTTTCAGCGCTTTCACGGAACGTGAAAAGGTTTTACAAGTTTCACCACTTTTCTGCATTACACAACCACCATGGACAATCCATTAGAAACCGCTATCTAATGCATACCCGCTGCGCTCGTCCTCCCGGACTGTTCAGGGGGATGATAAAAACATGGACTCCAAGTGACTTCTAGTCCTGAGAGGTGGGCGCTCTGAGGAGGCGAGATCTAACACCTCCCAGTATCTGATAACATCGATTCAACAGAGGACCGAAACACAGAAAACAAGCCAGACCAAACAGTTATAATTCAATTGAACTTTAATTGAAACTCTCAACAGCACTAAAGCACTAAAATGTTTTCCCAACTAACAAATAAGGCACATTTTGGAATGCCATTTCATGGACATGAAAAACAGACCTGTGGTCTACTCTCTAAACCCCAGCTGTCCTTGTTTCCCTAAATCACTTTATCCTCCCAACCTCACGCCTGCGTTCTGTCCAATTCAAACATTACATTATTGCAATACTGCTTTACAAACATCTCAAGAGATACAGACATTAAAGAATACAAACAGAACTTTCCAACTCGACCACATAAGTGTTAACACATTACATTCAGTAAATATGTGTTATTCATAGAGGCTACACTTGTGGTAAATGAAACACTTCAGGACTAATAATCAGAAGTGTCTGATAATGTTGAAAAAAAATGTAGCAAACCACTGTAAGGGTTTTAAATAAGTATACATTGCACAAAAATAATATTAAATTTAATTCCAAACACATGCACATGCAAACTCTAAAACAGTTCTTTGTCACACACACTTTGACCAAAGTATACACTTCCTAAGCTACTAGTAACATTTTATAATAGTTCCTTGTCATGGCTGCTTTAAGCAAACTACATCTCACAGTTTAATGTGCTTATACAGTGGTGAGTATCCATCACTAACTAAGAAAAAAATAAAGAAAAAAAATTCTGCATGTTAACACAATATATCTTGAAATCTATTGTTTACAAAATGAATACATGTGGCTTTAAAGACATAAATGGCAGCTTGTAATTAGTCACATGGCAACTGAATAACATAGGTTGCTCAATACGTTTATCATCATACAACAAAACAAAATAATACAATGGCTTATAATTGAGAAAGGGTATTAATTATGTACCAGCTTTTTTTAATAATATTCTATGTAGACATCAATATTTCCTTCTTAGTGTAACTTTGTTGCATAATCTATACAAAAAGTGTTGTAAAAAGTCTTTCCATAAATACTTCTGCAGGATAACCCTTCAGATTATTGTAAAACAAAGAAAAAATGACTCCCAGCTTTGATTATTTCTCAGCAACAGGCCCTTCTTCACACACAAAAAAAAGCTTTGATATTGCTTAACACTTCATTGAGAATGATGGCCATCAAATATATACATAAAACTATCCGTCTTTGTCAGGGAAATGACTTGAGTTTGCAGATTGCTTTAGAATTTTCAACATCTATTAAGTGTTCCAAAATACACATCTCATTCATAGAAAAAAAAGCAATTTTGAACTGCAAATGTACTAGAAAAGTCAAGTATGTGTAATTCAAGGTAATTCTATGTCGGAGAGCAGTTTTTTCCTAATATTTACTCTATCAGCTGCTTGCATTGACCCTTGAATTGCCATTTCAAACAGCTTCCTCATAACACGACTGTGGGTGGAATCAAACTGTTAGGATTTCACTTCCATTCTGACACGACTTTGTGAATCCCAAAACTGTTTCTCCTTTCAGAGGTTAATTCATAAGGCATCCGGGTTCTGAGCGACCTGCTAGTATTGCTGCAAAGCAAAAGAAAATGAATAAGAGTAAGAAAACAAATGGTTCTCTACAGTGGTGGGTTAGAGGGAGGCTTATAAATGAGATGTTCTTACAAGGAGTTCGCCATTCATTTTACTCACAAAGAGAGGTTTGTCCCCCTGATTTTTTTTTTTTTATGGAGTTCAGAAGGGAGCTTCACCAAGTCTGAGAAAATGAATTTAACAATGTCACATGGGTTATTTCAGTCAGGCCAAATGAAACATCTGAAATTCGGAGGTGACCTGATCATAAAAGGACCTCTTTCAGAGCAGATGTGAATGACCCGAGAAGCACTGAGATCTGTTGCTCAGACCACATTCACAGGTGGTCAGCCACATTGTTTTAACAGCCTGTAAGCGGCGTGGTCGGGGCCACACCAATAGACCACCTTCTCAACCTTTGTCCTTTGCATAGGCAATTAAATTTCAGCCGACAGGAAAAGCGAATCGCAGAAAACCCGACGGCATGTAAAGCGAGAAAGAAATTAAATCACTTCCTGGTGCCAAGGTGTTAACTGGCAAACTTGTAGGTGTCAATTTCTGATCAAATAACCCAAAAATGCTGTGTCTGAAATCGTTGTTCTAAAAGATGGGAAACAGCTCTTTTACTCGCTTGGGTGCCCTTTTGACATTTAGTTAGATTTCCTTCCACTGTAACGTACCATCATGACTCCCACTACATACTTGTTGACTAAATCTGCGGTTTCTTGGATAAACACTACCACAACAGATTAAAAAGAAAGCAAAAAAAAAACCTTAAGTGTAAAGCCAACAGTTTCATAAACGACTTCATTCTATTGTGAAGATCTACTAAGAAATAACATCTTTGTTGATATTCCATGACAACAGACCACAGTAGGATTGTTATAGCCAGCTGGAAGCTCAGAAAACTGCGAAGCGAACACCCACCATGCCAGTTCAACCACTAATGGAGGGGCTTAATCTTTTTTCTTGTCCTTTGTTACATCTTGAACCTACATTAAACCTTCTGTGCATCACAGTAACCACATGCGCACGCACTGCTCCACCTTTGAGCCTTTTTCTTTTCAAACTCTCAAATGGCCTTTTCCATCTTGATGCTTGAAATCTTTTTAAGGCACATAAAGTACGTTACACTTTAAATTGTAGTGAACCAGCTTCTGTAAGGCTTGGAATACAGTACATATAAAATATTTCATAGTTCCTATAAAAAAGTATCCTTGAAAGGCAGGTTCAAATAATTCAAAATGTCTTTTGCCCTTTATATATGCAAAATGATTTGTACTTTTCTTCTTTAATCAACAAAGTTTATAATAGAAGGCACCATAAAATATAAGTATCTGTAACCATCATTTTTGATGATTTCTATGCATCATCACATCACAAATCCTGCTTTTTATAGTATTTCCTATTCTCTTGACCAGCTCATCATTGCAGCTCTTCCTAGCTTCACCTCCATCTACGCTCTCTTTACACACACTGTTTGCTGTTGAATGTATGTTTTTTGTGGGGTGCTAGCCTTTAGACAATGTGTCTTTTTGCTTAACCGACTCCAGCTGGTGCTTAAATTTAAAATCAAGTTCACTTAGTGTTTTTTGGTTTTCAGTCAAACCTCTAAAGTGGATCCGTTCTGCTAACGCACAGACTATCAGGCAAAACAAAAAAAACACAACACTATAAATTGACAGAAGCCGTTTTCCAAAGATTTCTTCTTAGTTGACCCTTCTTTTGCTTTGAAATTACAGTAAAACGAGCAACTGCCCACCAAATGCTGCAGAAAAAAGACTTTTTTAGGCTAGAAAAACACTCGAGGGCCGCTGAAAGGAACGGATATGTCAGCAATTTTCTAAATCTAGCTGAGGAGCAACTCTATGCAACTTAACCTGCAGTAGTTTCTAAAGACACATGGAAGCAATTACATAAAAATATATGTGATAAACAAACATAGAAAAAACATCTCTTTATGTCCCAGTTAAATTCAAATTGCACACTAGACGAGAAAATAAATATGCCAAATGTAAGCTAGGGATGTATGGCACTTATCCCTCAGTTAATTCACAGTTAATAAGATGTGCTGCTGACCCCAATATGGCAAGATATAAAAGGCCTTTGTATACATTATGCCATCACTAAAGGCCGTGGTTAAACGTTCATCATATCACCTCACACTTCACTTGGCAGGGAAATGGAAAGCAGATCTCTGTAAACACAAAGCCAACAAACCCCTTAGATGAGGTCATGTATTGCGACCGATACTGTCAGTGACACCGAGGCGCTACACGCCCGGTACTTCATCATCAACGCCATCATTTGCTGCTGTTAACCAGACAGTTGGAGTAATGCACTTACGGCTATACGGGATTTTGGCAAATTTATTTTGCCTTTTGCAAAAAAGCACGTCAAGAAATTGATCCTCTGTTAACAGTTTCCTCTTATTCCTGGATGGAATCTTCGACCGGCAGTGAAAAAAACAAAACACTGACTGACATATGCGTTACACGTTTCGATGAGAGGAAGGACTGCTGTAGCATAGAAGGAAGGCATAAAAAGAAGGACTGGACTAGAGCGACCATCAAAAGATAGAGGAAACACAGGGGGGGGGGAGACCTGTGCGGGACAGGGTGGATGGAAACCGGGATGTGAACTGGGCAGGGAGGATGCCAGCTCACAGGACTTGGGACAACGAAAGTTCCTGTCTCCCTGTAGATATCGCTGATTATTGCACACGGCGGCAGTAGTAGCCCAGGACTTTACACTTCTCACACAGGTGCTGGGGGTGCTCCTTACTCTGGTCGGACACATCCAGGCCATCTGGTTTCTCTAGAGGCCTCTAGGGGTACAAACAGGGGGACCAAGAATGAGAAATCTCAAGAAAATAGAAACATTAAGAAAGCAAGCAGCAAACAAACAGTGTCAATCCTCACAGTTTTGCAAGCAGTTCGTTTGGCCGCAGTCTCAGTTCTGATACATGCCCAACTGATCTGGCCCCAAACACCAGTGCAAAGTTTTTTACGGGCCAGACGTGCACTAAGCACAATTAGTTGCAGAAATATGGCAATGCACCATCAACGCTGGAAACTTGCAGAACACTCTAACAGCAGTGTGTCAAAGAGAAAGATCCATTATGCATTTATTTGATCATCGTGACCTGTGTGGAAATATGAGCATCGGCTTTTTTGGAATCGTTATTAGGGACAAAGGCAATCTTTCTGGGCCAGCACGTTTGGGGGTGATTTTAACAGTCCATCTGGAAAATTTTATTTGTCATCTATTCTTTTTTTTGTTGAAGCTTTGAAAAAAAAAAAAAACTTTATTTATTCCAAATGGTTTAACTGAAGGAAACCAGGTTACCATGGGTCGTAGCAGGGAGATATTTCAGGCGTCCGCTAATGAGTCTGCCAGGAAGTTTTGAACTTTAATGCTGCAGAGTAAAGGACAATTAGGTGCTTTATGAAAATTGGAAATCTGACGTATATATTTTGTGCGATCACCTCCAAGTGAACTAAGTTGAAGGCTTCCCTACTGAGATGTTCTTTAAGACATTAAGAAGCTAAAGGGACCTCTGAATATATATATACAAATATATATATATACACACGTATATATTCCAAAAAATACTTGGCTCTATTTGACTGTTATTCTTTGTAAAGTTGTCACACTGAGTTGTCACACTGATGACTGTGCAATTAATGGTGAAAAAGATTTGAAAAGTTCCCTTCCTATTGTCTGGGAAAGCTGAAACTTCTTGGCAGACATGTAGATTCAATTTATTGAGCAGTAAATTACGCAGGTCCCTTACATTTTTCATTTCGTGCAACCACTGAGTCGAGCACGATCAGCTGTGGTATTCAGGGTACGAGCAGGGCTTCAAGCAGAGAGCCTAATTTTATTTCAAGAAGTGGAAAAGAAAGAATGCAGAAAAGCATAGAAATTACAAGATGACGTGCTGACGATGAATATATCTCTAGTGGGGAGGAATTCTCACTCAATCACTTTTCTAGGCTGGGTAGGGACATTTTAAATGTTAAACCAAAGAGTTAACCAGGCCGATAATTCTTTTTTAAGTATTATTTTTGGGGAATAGATGCCATTGGTAATAAGATTCCTAACTTAGTTACAGTATGTGAGGGTCAGTGCTGTAGTTAGAAAAGTTTCCTTTCCATCTGAATTAGTCTGTGTCCACAAGCCATTAATAAGGACATTTTTGTTTAAGATCTGATGACATTCAGTAAATAATCCCAAACATTTTTTGGACGAGGAATTTGATTATCTGATACAGGTTTATTGCCACATAACTGTGACTGGTATGATGTTTATTTCATTTTAATGAGGCCATCTGGAATCTCCTCAGAACAATATGCAAACCAGAGTCTGAACTCAGCTAACTTTGGCTGAGACAGAAAACGAGCAAGCAGCTTGTACCTGTTTGTGTGGATAGACATTGATGTGGCATTTGATACATTCTTGTCCCATGTTGGCCCAGGAGTTGCCACTCATCCACTTCCTCTTACATTTGGGACACTTGTATTCTCCAAAGCACCTCTTTTTCCCCTGGTAGGGTGTCAGTCCTTCACCTTTGGGTCTCGCCTGTAAAGAAAGAAAGAAAAGAATGTGATGTATGCATTAGAATACAGTAAATCTTTGCAATGCGTCCTTTCGCAGGTAAATAAATCCCAAAACAGGAATGTGTTTTTTTCTTTATGCACATAGACACCCTTTTGCACACAGCTGGACAGTAAAGTACGGCACAGGTGACAGCTGGTTGTTTCCATCTTTCTTGTGCAAAAATATATCCAACTCCAACATACAGTGCACTCCTGCACATGGCTTTGGCCCATTGTGAGGTTGTGTAATTGACGTTTACTTCCATTACAGCTGCATTAAATTACTCCTCTGATTCTCGTGAGGGAGATGATTACGAACAGTCAGTCAGCCATGAAAAAGCACTAGCCCGAGGGCAATATTGCTAAGAGAAGCCGCCCCTATGACTTCATGTTGGCAACTTTGTTTAGTCCACTGTAACAACATTTGCAGAAAAAAGACACATTTTTCCCATTAGACCGTGCCACAAACAAATACTATGATGATGTCATCAGGGGGGATAAATCACTAACTGTCCTCCAGCCTGCCAAAACAAACCAAAACGTACACTGATTAGCAAGTTTGTCAGAGCTCATCATTATCAATTCCGAAGCTGAGTTGCTAAAGAAAAAAAGAGAGAACAGGCGTGCCAGAGGCTGCTTTTGACTGGTGATGGTTATTAGCAGGCAGGGAGTGGTAGTTTTGGCATAACAGATTCTACATTTGGAACGCCCGTGACTGTAAATGGAACAACAAATAACTGCCTTTGTGCTTTCCTGCGCAGATGAAAATCCTTTTTGACAGGGGCAATCTTAATGCACAGCATGTATGCAACTTTTGGCAGCTCTCCAAAAAGTTAAGAAAGACTCTCACATCAAAGTGAAATCAGAACCGGCCTGTCCACTCCTGCCTTCTCCCCCACATATTGTTTGGATAATCACTTTAACATTGGTTTGCAGGTTTTGAGATGGACATAGAGGATTTGGGGTGATGAGATTGAGAAGAGAGGGTAGAGTTTGTATCCCCAGTCTTCCCTTACTGTGTCCTAGCCTGGGTATGAGTAATAGAAACTTAAATCAGCAGCATCTGGCACTTTCCAAACAGACGTCAGCACTTTGCATCAGCACCAGCGAGCCAGGACTAAGTATGAGCGGCTGTGCTTCAATCTGAGCCCTCAACAGCATGACCTCAACCCCACTGTCAGCTTTGCATCTTCCACTGTGACAGCACGCAGCCTGGAAAATCTGACTCCTGCCGGCCCGGACCGCACCACTCCGTATACACTCGCTGACAACGAAGGCTTTACGGAATCGATGGGCAGTCTTCAAGACAATGTCGTGGCAATGGTTTGGCTGGATACCCCCCCTGCAAACCCAAACATTTCTTTTGCTGCATTGCTACGTAGAGAGGTTTGACAGTAAGGCCTCTAGAGTGAACTGATCAGAGGACCAAGGGAGGACAAATTTCGTCAAGAAATTAGATTGCAATCCGATTCCTGTGACAGCTGTTTGTTCGCATGTAAGAAAAGAGAAGAAAAAAAGTTCTCCCGGAACACTTCAGCCAAGACTCAGCAGGACAGAAACAGCACTCATCCACCTCATGACCATTCCTTCTTTTGCTCCATGCTGTTTCCAGGGTCTGGCCTTGGCCTTTGGCTGCACATCACAGTCCGTCCTCAGCTAAAACTCTAAAAACATTCCGTCTGGGGTTGCTTTGAAATGTTTGTAATAAATATTTGTAATGAAGAGGAACAAAATAAAGTACTGGCATTCATTTGATTATGAAAACATAGTGCAACAATTAATGTGTGAATTGTGTACATGTGCAGTTCAAATTATTATCCAATTGTTCATCTAGGTGACTTTCTTCACTGGACCCACAGTATGAGGTTTGGGGGCTTTTCTTTATCCTCAGTCCAAATTGACTTAATGTATTTGGTTTTAGGGCTCTTGGATATCAAAATGAGACATTTTAGACTTTTGCATAGCATCAAATTAAATACTGGCAGAAAGCTGGTTAAACATTTCTAAAGCTATTAGTGACATTGAAGAGCATTCAAATGACAGTCTTCCATTCAGACAAACGCCCTATTAGGTATGAAGCAATCACTGCACTTTCCCACAAAGTTTAAAACACAGGCAAACTTTAGGTGTGATTTAGTTTTGCAGAGCTCTAAAGCTCCACAGAGCTTGTTGGGAAGTTTGGTGTCATAAATCTGCACTCAAACTGTGGTCAGCTGTTGTCAGACCGTTGCAACATGCTGTCTCTCATGGAGGTCTCGCACGAAGCGTGAGCTAGATTCCAAATTTGTGCTCTTTTCAGGCAGAGCTGGGATTGTTCATTCCAACGGACTCCCAAACATGTGGGAACGAATGCCACAATAACGCCCCGGACTGTTGTGCCACCATTGTCAGCAGAGGCGGACTGAGAACAACATCCCCGGAGGTAGCAGCTAATGGTGCAACTTTGGGGTTTTTCTCGCATGCATGAAGGGCTTGTGATTCCGTTAGCACTGATGCAGCAAAATGCAGATCAAAACTGTCTGCTGTAAACACTGGGATGGTGGAGTAAATGTTTTGGTCGGGCTGGATTTCCAGAAAAAATAACCTTTAAAGCAACATTTACTAAACTGTTCACGACGCACTTGAGATGACTTCCATTATAGAACTGCGTCATCACACCACGCCAGGCCCTGGATACGAGCAGACACAAGAGGGTGTGTTAGGTTTTCCTTTGCTCTATACAAATAAAACCATTTGGGCTCACGATAAAAGGCAAAAAGATAAACTTGAACAATTTAGCACATTTTAGTTGTCAGTCAAAAGGAAGCCGGGCTGTAAAACAGCAAATCAGCTGATGGTGTGTGCGCCAGGAGGCGGCGAGTGGTGTTTGTCACACTATTTCTTTTAACAGTGCTTAGTGTTTGTATTACTCCCCAGGCTGGAGCCCTGTGAATTAAAGGACGAGGAGTGTAAGTGAGTGTGAAGAGGACAGAGTCCTCAGAAGACAGCGGAGCTGAAAAACCACATCTAGTTAACCACAACCTCCTCTGGTCCGGATAACAGCAGGGTCTCATCATATCACACACACATTCATCCACTCTCTGGGTCACTGAACTGTTAAATGACGCATGTGCACACATGTGATACACACATTCATTGAGTTAGTGTCTGTCCAAAACATGGCCACACACAGACACCAGCTAATACTGCTCTCTTTCTTCTTCTGTCCCCTTTAAATCGCACACATGCAAACACACACTGAACAAATTCCACCTCCACAGGTTTTCGTACACTCTTGAGACACGACTGGAAAGTCTCGGCACACGGTTTCCGGCATTACTCCCACTCATCGTTTCACCCTGCTGCAAGCCCACTGGTCATTCTTTGGCTTGTATCGCAGGATTAATGAGCTCACAAACTGCATTAGATAGCATAAACAGAGCTGAACTAGACACAGTAAAACAAAAGGGGAGACAAGAATGAGGCACGAGAGAGCAACATAGACGAATTAACATCCTAGTTGAAGAGCCCGTTGGTTTGTAAAGATTCTGTGATGTAGGGGGTCTGAAAACCTGCTGCTTAAGAACCAGACTCCAACACAAACTTACACAAAGAAAAAGGAAAGTGGACAAACAACAGAAGGCCAAGTCAACTAAAGAGAGACCCTCCAATCAGCCTCTCACATGAGGGAGGAGAAACGGAAGAAGAAACTGAGAGAGAGGCAGAGGAGGAGGAAATCTAAATCCAAAGCAGATGGCCTCTGTAGGGGCAGAACACTGAGAGCCGTCGTAAAATTGCTGCTCTGCTTTCAATTAGGCTTTACATTTTGGAGACAGGGAAAGAGAGGTGGGGGATAAAACAGTCTTAACAAACCACTGGAGCTCCAGCCACCACTACAGTGGACTGGACTTATTATCATGTGGAGGAATGAAGGGGGGGGGGTGCATATGTAGTCAAGTATGTTTTACAAATCGGGAAATATTAGGAATTTGAAGCATGCGCACAATTGCAAGTGGATTAATGAATTTTGATATGTGTGAGAAAGTCATCCCAGTCTAGACGACACCCAGGTAACACTGTGAAATCGACGTGAAGGTATGCAGTCTGAGCATTTGACCGTAGCAGTGCAGTTCAGATATAATTTTGCCACAAAACCGTCTTCAATTTCTGCCGCTGTGCGCGTCTAAAAAGGATTTCAATTACTGACCACTGGAAAAATGTGGTCCAGACCACTGTCTGAGGCCTAAAGGTGATATTTGGTTTGTGTTGATCTAGCATTCCAGCCTAAGAATAATGACCAGTGGACAGACACTTGACTCTACAGTCTCAGACACTTGCCCAAAAGCTGAACTCTTAATCCTGTGTCTCCAGCAACAGGATGGACCAGCCGTGGTTTAATATTAGATGTGCCTTCCAAGCCAAACCTAAGAGGAATTATTCTAGAGACCACTACTTTCAAGGTTACACAAATTCATGCTTTTTTTTTTTTTTTTTTTACATATTAGAGGAGACATCTAACTTCTTGAATTAGGGCTGCACATAATACCCACAGGCAGTCTGCAAATATGTATGAGGAGACAGTAAAACTTTTTTTATATAAAAGCTACATGGAATTAGGCAGGATTGTGAGGAACGTTGTTTGCGGGCATAAAAAAGCAACCAAAGACTGTGTTAAAATAAATATAGTCAGTGCGGAAGCGCCTTGAACCTGTGTATATAATCATCTGTCTCACAGGCTGTAGGAGCAACTGATGGTAAAAAAAAAAAAACAGTGGTAAGGCTGGGGAAAATATTTGCAAGAATATCTACATTCAGCAAGTGGAGAATGTCTTTGCGGTCAATTGTGTAACGCCGCCAGCCTCTGTTACTGTGAGGCGTGTTCATTTGTTCATGTTCAGCTTGTCGGAGGACGGCAATTTAAGTGTACCGCTGCTTTTAACAATGTAAGTTCTTAATTTATCATTTCTGGCATCTTTAGCTTTATGACAAAAATAATCAATAATA